CGAAGTGCATTAGGCGGAGGAAGTGTAGCTATGGCGGGGAGCAGATTGAGTGTATTAAGCTAGCATGAAACCAAAGGTCAGTGCAAATGTATCTTAATAGACTGTCTCAAATGGAGTGTGCCTCCTTTGAAGGCCGCTTGCTATTGCTCTCCTCATTACCATAGCGATCCTAACGTGGCATGCTGATGCACCATAAAACTCACACTTTCAACCCCAAAATCAGGCCCTTTGAACAACCCGAGCTTGATTAGACCTTTCTCCTTTTCTTTTCCCCCTTAAAAACCATTTCCTTGCCTTTAGAAACTCGCCCTCAAATCCCAAACGCATTCTCTGATCCCGGCAGAAAGCAGAAACAAAAGTGGGCTGAGGCGACAGTTCAAGCGGGCCTTTTCTTCCTGACAGTCTGATCCATTTTTATTATGGTCTGGAACAAGTGCCCTGTTCGCGTGGGTTTTGTTTACCGGAAATTAAATGAAAATGATTTAGTTCACGTCAAACAAAAATATATACTTGTATACACAAGAAAAAGGGCCTGTTAGACGTAAATATTATGTCCTTAATGAAAAGACTGGACGGGCTCCAGACTTCGCCTTTCACTATTTAAGTATGACTTGCCTATTGCCATAGAAATCCTAACTTACCATGAAGATTCACCGTTGTGAAGAAATACTTCTTTGTGCGAGCTTGCTTTGATGTCTAAGGCATAAGATTCGGGCTTTCAGCTGCGTCTGTCTAGATTACCTTGAGAGCAACGGGGTAGACATCTGTAACAAGCAAATGAAAAATTAAAGGTGATTAGCCTGCACGTCCAAACGCTCCTGTAAACAGAGAAATAAAGAAACAAACAGATCTCAGGACGCCGTGGAAGCATCCTCCCTGCCCGCAGCTGGCCTCTCTACCTCTCGGTTTCCCCGACGCAAGTTCCGCGGGCTGCGGAGGGGCACCCAGTTCTCCCCAAGTTTAGGCTCCTCTCCCGCACGCTTCTCTCGCCCGGGTGATGCCCTACGAGTGCCTCCCGGCAATGACGCGCTGCCGTCACTGCCCGAGGCGTTTAAACGCAAAAGTTGTCCGGCCGGGGCGAGTAAAGAAGGGAACCCTGGCTTGGTGCCTGGGGAGCCCAACACGGCTGCATCCGCGGGGGCAGGCGCTGGGCGCGGGGAGGTCTGTCGCCACCGGCCAGTTAGCTCTCTTCCCGTAGCTTTTCTCTTTACGGATGGGTGTGCGTGTGTACGTGCGTGTGCCCAACACGCACACCGACCCCGGCCGCCCTGGAGC